TTGGCAAGACTACTGTTGTTAAAAAAATATATAAAGAAATGCAAAATGATTTTACTTCTTCAGCTTTAGTCTATGTCTCAAATGAGCCTAGAGTCCAAGAGCTTCTAATTGAAATAGCAAAGCAAGTTGGCCTTGAAGAGGAAAAGATAAAGGAAAATTTGAAGGTCAACTTGCTTTCTCTGCTCAATGAAAAAAGGTGCTTAATTTTTCTTGATGATATTTGGAAAGTTGAATCATGGGATGAGTTAAAAAACGTTATCCCCATCAACTCGAGAAATGGTAGCAGAATTATCATTACTTCTCGGTATACTGATGTGGGCAGATATATATGCGGTGAAAGCTCTTTGATTGAATTGAAACTCTTAGATCAAGAAAAGAGCTGGGAACTCTTCTCCGAGCTGATGAAATCTTCTTCAGAAAATAATGAGAGATTTCCTCCAATTGAATTGGAAGATATCGCTAAGAAGATAGTAGAAAGGTGTGGTGGGTTGCCATTGGCAATTGTGGTTGCGGTGGGTATGTTGCGGCAGAGGAGAAGAAATAAACAAGCATGGAATGAGGTGCTCGACAGATTGAGCACTAGTTCTGAAAATAATTGTTCAAAAATCTTGTCTCTGAGTTACAATGATTTACCTCCTGACTTGAGGCCTTTTTTTCTCTACTTTGGGCTCTTCCCCGAAGATGAAGAAATTTCTACGTTTGAGTTGGTCTTGGCTTGGGTTTCCGAGAAATTGATCCAGGTTGACGGAAATCGAAATCCTTATGACATTGGGGACGTTAAATTAGAAATGTTAAGTGACAGAAATTTAATCCAAGTTTCTAAGAGAAATTTGGATGGAAGAGTGGAAAGTTGTCGTATTCATGATCTTCTACGCGTTCTTTGCATTGAAATGGCCAACAAGGACAACTTTTTTGGCACACGCCATAATATACGCTCTAATTCATTTTTAACGCTTCGTAGACTTACAATTGACGACACTAGTCAATTTTCTTTTTCAAATTCTAAAACTCCAAAACTTCGTACCTTGCTCTGTTTCAGTAACTCAGGAGAAAGATGGACTTGGATTCCTAATGAGATAGGAGATCTGAGTAGCTTGACTTTCCTTAAGTTGAGTGGGAGATTTGAAAGGATTCCTTCAACTATAAGGAATCTCAAGAAATTGGTGACATTGGATATTCGAAAGGCACGTTTTATTTGTGATTTGCCAAGAACTATTTTCAGGATGAAGCATTTGAAGCATTTACTCTTATGCCATGGTAATATCTCTGAGTCTAACAAATGCACAAATTTGAATGTCAGAAATGAGGTGTATTTTTCGAACATAGAAATTTTACATTGGGTGCCTGGTACCATTTTGAAAGCTAGATCATTACAAAAACTCTCCAACTTGAGAAAGCTGGGTTTATATGAGATTAATGACCAACATATAAATGTAATATCTGGTAAAACACCCATATCGGAGAAGCTCCAAGACTTGCAGTTGTGGTTCGAGCAGAAGTTTAATTGGTTAAACCTATCCCACTATGACCATCTTACTGAGTTGATGCTGATAGCTAGATCTAATTTTCCATTCAAGCTTGACACCATTGAATTCCCTCCAAACCTTACCTACCTTATCCTTCAGAACATGAAATATACTGAGGATCCAATGATGGTACTAAAGGAACTACCCAAATTAGAGATCCTTAGATTGTCGCATTGTACATACAGCCAATCAATCACGCTGGATTTCACAGGAGCAAACAGCTTTCCAGAGCTTCAAGTGTTGGCAGTTCAGAGAAGATTTAAGGAATATGTAATTCCGGAGTTGATTGTGGATCAAATAGGGATGCCAAAGCTTTTCAAGTTTGTGTGCGACCAAAAAGACTTAAATGTTGCCGAGAGACTACGTGAAATAATGGTGGAGCCTTGAAGTCAGACACTATTCAAGAGGTTAGTGTGTTTTTTCTAGTTCGTATTATGGTTTATACTGTTTCCTCCTTGTTTTCTTCTTTCCTTACAATAAAATATGGAAAATACTCTTTTCTTTCGAGTACAATATTGTTGAGATATAAATTTAAAATAATCCAAAATATTCTTGAATTCAAATTCATAAATCAAACACAAACTCAACCCTTAATTGAGGGAGATGGTGCCAATTATTTTGTTAGTT